TAAAGCAGTCTCCTCTCATGAAGATTTATAGTTTTGAAAACACTGTAGAGGGTCAGGAGTCAGAATCAACTCAAGGGAAGCTGGATTTGGTTTCTTGGAAGGAATCTATGTAGGAAATCAATAGCTCATCATAGAGAAATAGAGACATAGCAAAAGATTCCTTTGTTTGGAGATAAGTGAGCATAGTGACACTAATAAGCACGAAACCCCCAAGAACATGATAATTAAACCCTTTGCCATTGAATTAATCCTGATCCACACTAACGTTGCAGGAGAGAGAGAACTGTCCGTGGGGTTTCCGAAACAATAAATCTACAGAGAAGCAGAGCGAATCATTTTTCTCCCATGGAGCACCAAGTAGGTTCAGTCTGCCTTTGGGTTATCAGTTGTTTCTTGTTTGTTTGTTTGTTTATTGTGCCACTAGTGCTCCTCTCATGATCACGAAGAGGCTTGAAAATTCTCTCCTAATAGCTACAATGGGCAAGCCTTTAGATGCCTTAAACACATCTCCATATAAGAGAGTCTTCAGGGAGTGCTTGTGGCTTAGTGGTAAGGAGTTGTGCTGTCAACCCAAAGGAACACGGTTCGAATCCACCATGTGCAAATCAGGAGAAAGATAGGCAATCTCCTCCCGTGTGATTTAATGCCTCTGAAAACCTCCTGGACTTTCAGCTATGGGTCTGTTCTGACGCAAAGATGCTTACCAACAAATAAAGGAATTATCGTTGAAAGTAGTTATGTAAGAAAAGTGAGTGTGTGTGTGTGTGTGTGTGTGTGTGTGTGTGTGTAAAGGAGAGGGACAAAGGGATGAATGAGGGAAAGGAAGAGATCTAGGATATTTTTTTAAAAGAAAATAAAAATAAGCAGTAGTAAAGATCCTAAGGTAAATGACACTCAACTGTAACAAATCTATGAATAGCAAAACAAGTAAGAAATTTAAAATTTAAAAAACACTGTATAAGACCATTATTGTAGAAATAGATAACTAGTAAAATGTGTATGAGGATCTAAGGGGGGCTGTAGGGGAATACAGGGATGAGGATGGGTGGGCGGTATAATCATAGGGTTGCACAATTGATGGGTTGAGGTAGGGGTGGGTTAAGAAAATGGGAAAGATCTAGTATGAAAAATAATGTATATGAACTTTGTAAGTAAACCATTATAAAAGAAAAAGCTTATATTTTAAATATTTACAAAATATTTTCATATCGACTAAGGTGTGTCTGATACAGGCCATGGTCTTCGCAATCACCTGTCATGCATCAGAGAGTTGGAAAATGACCAAGGAGGATAGAAGGAGAATTGATGCCTTTGAGCTGTGGTGCTGGAGAAGAGTATTGAGAATACCATGGACTGCTAGGAAAACAAACAGATTTGTCCTGGAACCGGGTGGCTCCTTGGAGGCAAGGATTCTGAGGCTCCGTCTAACATACTTTGGACATGTTGTGAGGAGAGACCGGTCCTTGGAGAGGGACATCATGCTTGGGAGGGTGGAGGGACAGCACAGGAGAGGAAGGCCCTCTATGAGGTGGATTGATTCAGTGACTGGGATAATTGGGATGGGAGTGTCAGAGACAGTGTGATTGGCACAGGACAGAGCGGAGTCTAGGGCTGTTGTACATAGGGTCGCTATGAGTCGCAGGCGACTCGATGGCACATAATGACGACGACTGAGGCCGTGGTCAGATGTGATAAAAAAATTCCAATCTTCTTATAGTCAGAAATTGTTTAATTCCTTTTTTTTCCTCTCCACCCTGTCCTACTCTCTGAATTGTCTCTTGGCACCAGGTTAAGTGGCCACAGAATCTTAAAGCAGCTTATGGCAGCCAACATTGTATAAACAGTACAATGCAATTCAAAATGCCATCATTTTAACCCAGATTAGAATGAAATCTAACGGGAGGTTGAGGACAGTATGGTACAGGGCCTCTGGGAATGAGTCTGATGTGCTGTGATAGATCTTCTTGTCACCTTCAGTTTCTTTGACTCCATGAAATTCTCAATTTCTGGATAATTTGTACTTGTCAAAGAGAGTAGGCAAGTCTAATAGATAACTCAGTTCAGAAGGAAATTACAAGTAGCATTTCAAAATCTAACCAAGAGGACAACACCTAAGAAACAATGTAAAATAAATTACCCTTTGTGATTACCTTCAAGGTGAATTTTACCCACACCGTCAATTGTTTTTCAGTGCATGTGATAAAATTTGATTAAGACACTATTCAGTTGGGGTCTGTAAAATGTAGCACACAGCAGGAGCTCCATTTGCATTGAGTGACCAGACACATTTTTAATCAAATAACTTAATAGTATAAATAAGCTTCCAGACAGTGTATGTCAATGAATGGGACAAGTATTACTTATGAATTAAATCTAGTCAGTCTTCCCTCATTCAACATTTTACATTCATGGGACAGTCACTATGAAAAATATTTTTAAATTCAATTAGGATTGTCAAAACTTAAAAAAATAATAAAATGAGATTTCCTTTTAAAAGACTATGTTTTGACTTTTCACTAATTCTGACAGTATTTATATTCACTCAAACCTTAACAATTACCTAAAACCACTTCAAGTCTTTCTGCCTATAGATACAGCTTCAGATCTAATTACTATGAAATGGTCAGGTAACTCCAAATACTTTACATCATTAAGTGATTTACTTAAGTGATAAAATTGAAAGGATTAAATGTGAAAAAATCTGTGAAAATGGCATAATATAGTGGCCAGTTCATATGAAAAGTGATGCTGAACCATCACATCTAATCTAACCATCACATCTAATCTAAACTTGGACCTAAAGAAAGCAGCAAACAGTGTTTGTTTTGATGACTAAATTAAAATCAAAAGCTCATTTTTAAACACATGCCTTACCTTTTCTGGGAGAAAATTTCCATCTTCTTAACCTCAAGGTCTGGCCTCTGGGGTAGGTATAGTTAGAATAAAAATTAAAATGAATTACTAGTGGAAGAAGTTTGTGACTTTCCTAAGTCAGTCTCTGGGTGGATTACCATCAAAAAAAGAACAGTTTAGACCCTACCAGAGGCAACTCAGAAGTTAAGACCTTGCATTCTGCTTAAAAGTCATAGTCTTCAAATATCTATTCTACTCTGTATACATGGTGATACCATGTGTTGAAATCAATTTAAAGGCAACAATGTGTGTGCCAAAAATAATAATACATTCTAGCTTCTTAACTTATGGAATTTAGGGGTGGTGGTTATTATTGTTAGTATCATCAAGTCAAGTACAATCCATAAAAACCCTTTGAACGACAGATCTGAACCTTGTTCTATCCTGTCCCATCTTCACACTTCCTGACACCCAAGAGCCCATCACAGCAGTCACTGTATCAATCCACCTGGTTGAGGGTCTTCCTCTCCTTTCCCAATTTTCTACCTTTCCAAGCATGACATCTCTCTCCAAGCAATAGCTTCTCCAGGCAACATGCTCAAAGTATGTGAGGCAAAGCTTTATCTACATTTTTCAAACTTATTATGCACCTGCCAAAACATTTCCCAGACTATTCTTATGAAGAGTCCTGTTTCAAGGGCTCACTCTGACCTAGTCCAAATTTTGACTCTTGGGTATATCATGAGTTAAAGTTCTAAAGGCATTGAGATCTTTATCTTTAAAGATCTTTGGGATTGGAGGGATTTATGGATCAGGCTAGATGACAGAAAGTCTCTGAAGACTATCGGTATCATTCACTCCTGTGAATGGGATGGGTTAAGGGAGGGGTCCAGTCTCTAGAAGTAAAAGTCTGACATATTTCTCTTGCTCTGGTGAGAGTTCTTTTTCCAATTTTGCACAGGTTTTTTTTGGGGGGGAGGGGGCAATAATAGCAAAAACATTCTTGCTTTCTAGTTATGGCATCAACTAGAAGAGAGAATCAAGTATGTTTTTATCATCACAGTCAACCCTCAATTACGCATCTGTATACTTAGAAAGTCGTGTCTTCAATAATACAATGATAATTTATGTTTGACTTCACAACATGTTCTATATTTGGAATTTTTCTTTTGTTGTTGGCAGCATCAACAGACTTATTTTCCTAATTATGTTTGACCCTGAATAATGTTACAATTAACATTCGCTGAGCGTTTGCATACATACACAAACCACATTCCAATTGATGGTGGGGAGAGTGCCCAGAAACATATTGTAAAAGAGAGAAAGGTGGTCTCAGATTATGTTTTTCCTGTTGGCAATTCACAAACCGAATAATCTGGATCCAAAGAGAGTTGGCTATGTTTGTACTAGGCGATTCTTCTGATAGCAAAAGAATAACTTTAACTAATTCCTACCCATAAAATAGGGAGCTTTGTTGGCCTAGTGGTTAGAAGCTGTGCTGCACCCCCAAAGGCACACAGTTCAAATCCATCAGCTGCTTTGTTAGAGAAAATTGAGCAATCTCTTCCCACTTGATTAAACTGCCTCTGAAAATCCATTCAGACTCCACAGTAAACAACAAAAACAACCCATAAAATATAGGTAGAATTCGTAATTAGGTACCTGACTGTGTCCAGCACAACACTTGTAATCAAACAAGGATTTGATTCTAGTTGGATTGCATATTTTAATTCATTAACAAGCAGATCTCTCTGGCTCCAGATCTGCCTGAAGTTTTATTTTAGGTTTGGAAATACTTGGGGAATGTCATTTAAGCTTTAGTCCCATCACTTGGGGGAATAAAGCACAGATTCCTCTGCTTTGGGAGTCTCAGGGTGCAACAAATGTTTACTTGGAAGAAAGGACTGGTTGATAGACTTCTCAAAACAAAATCAGCCACTGAAAACTTTGGGGCGCACAGTTCTGTCTGACACATGGAGTCACCAAAAGTCAACAACAACAACTCAGTGGCAAATGGTTTTCCACTGGCTTCTGAAAACACTTTCCAAGCATTTTTTTTCTTTCACTTGCTAGTCCAGATGGCGCAGCCTTCTAAACAGACCCTTGGCCCACCCGCCCGCTGCATCCGCGCCCTGGTGCGCACTCACCTATCTTCTCTTCGGCTTGGCTGCTCTCGGCAGTCTCCGTGGGAGACTGAGCTGTTCCCTTGGCAGCAGCGTCCTCTGCAGCAGGGGTGGCGGCAGCAGCAGCAGTGACAGCAGCAGGCACGTCGGCTTGTTTAGGCTCCTCCTTGGCTGGGGCATCTTCGGCCTTGGAGGACTGCAAGTTATCAGTGGAAGCTTTAGTGGCACTTTCTGTCTCCGCAGAACCGGCCTTCTCCTCTGCCTGAGCTGCTCCCTGCTCTGTAGTAGCATCAGGGGCGCTCTCCGCCTTCTTCTCCTCAGAAGGGCCGTCGCCTGCTTCAGACTTGGGGCCAGTGGCTGGGGCCGCGTCGGCGGGGCCGTCTCCCTCCTTCTTCTCCACGCCATCAGCAACAGGGGCTTCATCCTTCTGGGTCACTTCGGCCTCAGCCGCTGGGGCATCACCCTTCTTCTCGCCTTTGAGCTTTTTCCTTGTTATGTGTCCACGGAAACTAGCCTGAATTTTGGTGGCGGCCTTGTGAGCCTTATCTTCTGGTTTGATGCCATCTTGTTCAATCTTTTGGTCCTCATCATTTTTTTCAACCTTTGGGGGGGGAGGAGAAAAAGAGGAAATAATAAAGGAGTGATGCTCTTTTCTTTACTGTACTTGGAGCTGAGAAATCAGGAACTCCTCAGAAGTTGAAACCAAGACTCCACTCACTCCATGATAGAGAGTTTAGTGGAGAACACATTCTTTTTCAGCTTTCCAAAATCACTGGAATTATTTTATATTTCCTTTCTCTAGTTCAATGGCTCTTTATTGTCAAAATTCAGCCAGTGATTTTTTTAAAAAGTACCTAGGTGATTAAAATTATATTTGTCCTGTGTTTCAATAAAAGAATTCTAAGACAATATAATCACATAATATGGATGAACCTGGAGGACATTATGCTGAGTTAAAATAAGTCAGTCACAAAAGGACAAATAATATATGAGTCACGTTTTAGAAAAATCTAAAGAAATATTTATACACCAAAAGGAACATTATTGTGGATTAGAGTTAAATGTTTTAAACAGAAACTTCAACAAAGTAATATTTAATTACACATGGGCCTGGTGGTTATGAGAGACTTATCTAGAATGTTATAACTTGTAATACTGGCCACAAAATGACATACAGATATTCCTCTTATGTAGTCCAGCATCACTAGTATATACCAAATCTTCAAAATTACAATTTAAAAAAACCAATCCTTTCTCTTAAGTTGAAAAAAAAAATTAAAGAAAACTTCCTCTTTGAAAGAAGGACATCTAGGCACTTTGTTGTTATTAACCCAAATATTAGTTTCATAATTCATCAGTTCCTTCAGTAAAATGATCAAAGTACTAAAGATAAGAAACTAGAATGTATTTTTTGTCATCATTTGATGGCAACAGTTAACAGTACTATATGTGCTGTAAATGGCATGTTTGAACATGACAATATCAAAATAGCAGTAGAGGATACAGTCATAGAAAGATGTTTATGTGAAAGTACAGGACATTCTACATGTCTCCACTGTTTATGCTGGAGCCCCAACATAGTTACTGATAATCTTTCATTTAACTTTTGAGTTCTTACTATTTAAATAGGGAGCCCTGGAGTCTATTGGTAAGGAGATGCACCACCCGAAGCCACACAGTTCTAATACACCAGCTACTCTGCAGGAGAAAAAAAGATTATCAAGCTCCTCTCAAGTGATTTAGTGTCTCTGAAAACACTCGATGGTCAGCTTCAGCTATGATTCTGTTCTGACTTGATGGTATATAATAAGGACAACTGCTGCCTGAGTACCGCTTATATGTGATCACCAAGAAAATGTCCCTAGTGTACTTGAATTCAGGTTCTTCCTCTTGCTAAGTATCTCAAAGGTACATAACACCGCCACTACTATCTAAATATTGTTCTAGACATTGGAGAAAATGCACCAATTAATAACACAATCTTGCCCTCTTACAGTCTTCCATTCAACAATGCTCATTTTAAAGACAAATAGTTTTGTGTGGTTCTGTGTGCTTATCATGTATAAAGTCTGGTGCTCGGCCCAGGCTTGGTCCTGGCCCTGAAAAGTGCTCCAGTTTAGGAGGTAGGCCACAGCAGGCCAGCACGGCGATCTGTTTTCCTCCTGTCATATCAGCTCTGCCCCAGTGACCCAGATCCTGCTAATCATCCTGTGGACACGCATACAGGTCATGGCAGCTTAGGGCTTATCCACATGCTAGTGGATCCAAGAAAGTATTCTTGCAAGCAGACTGCACGTGAAAGCCAAAAGCAGGAATATAGCAAATTTCTCAGTAAAATTCCACACAAGTATTTCTTTCTTCTCCGTTAACAATCCCTTATCCATACAAAGAAGAAACAAGTAAACGAAGCACACTTTGGTGAGACCTGCTCCACTTCCTTCTCCCAAGTACCATGCTGTGACATTGCCCTGCTCTCTGATGCACTACCACCTTGCTGGCTATCCTGCTGCTCTTGATGTCTCCTGCTGGGACACATACAGCACAATCTGGGGCATCAGAGCAGCTGTCTCTGCCAGGAGCTCTCTGCTCAGAGATGAGAGCATAACCCTGTTAAATTAACAGTTGTAAATGGAGCACAGAGCCAAGATGCTGTTAACTTATTTCACTTGATCCCAGGTTTTCTGAATGAGGCACTGTCTTATGGAATAGGACAGTTGCACTTGGGCATCGATGCCACAAGGGCCTTTAATACAAAGGAGGTAAAACTAGGTTAGTATCCATTATTCTTTATGAAAATAAACATGTCAGTGATTTCAGGTGTGCTGATAACACCCTATATCTAAAAATCTCCACTTCTAGGCTCCTACTTTTTCTTTAAATGCATTAGCAAAGAAAATGGAAAATGTAAGTTATTAAAATACTTTCCATTTGACCTAAAGAAACTATATATACGTAAGGAAATAGTCCCTTCCTTTGTCACACTCAATGTGTCAGACTACCCACTGGTTTGGCCAGCACTTAAGCTTCTGTGCACACCTTGTAATGTTAAATGGCTGTTTAGAAAGATTTAGATTGGACCTGGATGGAATACTGTGAGACAAGCCTCACCTGAACAATAAAGAGAAGAGAGCAAAGGTGTGGACATGACAGGAGAGAACTACCAAGAGCCAGAGTTAGGAGAGAGTAGTGAAGGGAATCGTACAGGAGCTGGGTATTCGGATAGACATACTCAAAGAACCGCTTGAGTACTCCTATGGCGCACAGTGCAGCTCATCCTGGAGAAACTGCTGGACCACAGCGCACGTTATTGGAAATTTAGAAAAATGTGATTAAGGAAGAGATGGGAAAAGACAAATAAAACAATTATTTCAGGTAGTGAGAAAAGAAGAGCAAAATGAAAAGAGAGAAAGGGGAATCAAACTAAGGAAAGGACAGATATCAGTGATTAGACAAGGATATCAAGACTTTTTTTTTTTTACATTCTAAATTATGTTGTCTCGATGGTAGTTACATCTTGATGATGTCAGGCAAGGGAAGTTTCTAGGGTCCTTTTTGTTGTGTGTTACTGTTCTTCTTCTCCCTTCAAAAATAAGTGGCCCTTGAGCCTTAGACTAAGAGTAAGGGTGGAGCCCTGCTGGAGGTTGTGGCTTTAAAATTATTGGTGAGATGATGGTCAGTGGGCTGGCCTGGGAGCTCGGCACTTGGAGTCTCCCTCCACTTCTAGGAGTTGGCTAGCTAGCTAGCACCTATGTGGTCTCGTCTTGATGAGAGTCACATAAGGGAAGTTTCTTGGGTCATGTTTGTTGTGTGTTTCTGTTCTTTTTCTCCCCTCAGGCCAAATTTATTAATTTTAGAATATTCTTTCAAAGACACAGCAATAATTTGTCTATTTGCTGTACTGAACTACTTGGAGTTTCTGTGATATTGAACACTATCCCATAGTTGTGTCAAATACCATAATGGTTACCCATTATGTACAATGGTTGGATGAGCTTCCAGACTGATTCATGCTGGGAAACAGGAGTGGCACTCACTTCCTAAACTAGATGCCTCTGGAAACTCTACAAACTCTCTTATCAATGTACAGAAATTATGTTAATGACAGAAAAGAGTTCAGGTCTTTTGTGCAAAGCTTACTCTGAGTCATATTTGACTTGACAACACTTAACCACTGCTAAATGAGACCAGTGCTGTTATAACTGGAGGAACATTCTTCCACTTTGCACATCACTCTTTGCCAATGTGCTGTATGAAGTAACCTGAGTTTGCCATGATGCTGAACCTTGTGCCATTGGGGATATCAAATAACAGAATGGTTTCCCTTTGTGGACAGTGTTTGGTGGAGCTCCCAGTTGTAAAACAGTTTGGGAAGCAGGAGTGGCATCCACTGTCTAAACCACATGCCTCTGGAAACTCTATGAACTTGGAGAAACAAAGATAGCTGTGGAAAGGCATTAGGTTTTGTTCATAGAGTCAGAGTCTACCTCAACTCCACGGCAATCAACAACAACAACAACAACAAACTAGGTCTTAAACCAGACAGGACTGGATACTGGGAGAATGAGGGGCAATCTCCTCCTGTGCAATCAACTGCCTCTGAAAACACACCAGAAGATCAGCTATGGATCAGTTTTGACTTGAGGGTATGCAACAACAACTGTGTATTTGTTTGGATTCTCTCTTTTTCTGTGTCTGCCATTGACTATATACTGCTTAAAGGATAACTCTTTTTCTCTTGCAAAATCCCCTTCACATAACTGTGAGTGATGCATTTGTGTAGGTGCTGAAAGACATAAAGATGAGGAGCACCATCACCAGACTGGCTTTAGGGAGTAGCTTCCCGGCATCAAGTCACTTTGACCTAAAATGGAAGAGCTCAACACAGTCACAGAAGACATTTGAACCCAAAGAGACCAGAAATCATCCAGTAGACTCAGTAAAAAATCTTTATTGTTTTAATTAAGGAAACCAAAGCAAATGAAATCTTTTTTTTTTCCCCTGAAATAAAATGCTAAAATTTTGTATGGGTTGGATAAAGATGATGAAGACATCATTGTATTAAACTTATTGGAAATTAATCAAATTACTTAATCAAATTTCCATCTGGTGAAAAGAGAAATAATTTCCATGTGTATTTAAGAATAAAAAAAAAGAAAAGAAAGCCAGAGACAAGCAGTTGCTTGCATATTCAAACTCATGGACATAACCAGTGGTTTGTTGCTGTTGTTAGGTGCCATCGAGTCAAGTACAACTCAGTGACTCTATGAACCAGCCTGAACCCTGCCCTGTCCTTTATCGTCTTTATCATCTTCATCATCTCTGATAGATTAGTGCTCATTGCTAAAGTCCATACATCTCTTTGAGGGTATTCCTCTTCTTCACTGACCCTCTATTTTTCTAAACATAATGTCTTTTTCCAAGAAAATAGCATGATAATATTGACTGTTGGTCCTGTAGGAAGGACCTTAGCTTTCTTGATGTTGAGATATAATCCAAACTGAAGGCTGTAATCCTTCGTGTTCTACAGTGTTTCATATCATCTTCACTTTCAGCAACAAAGTTGTGTCACCTGCATAACACAGGTTGTTGGTGAATCTCCCC